GTCTCGGTTTATTCTACTCCCTCTCACTCAGGAGTTGACTGGTTACTAAGTGTCCCTTTCTATGTAATATGCAGTGTCTTGGCACCCTAGGATATAACTTTTACTCCTCCAAAGTTAATTCATAATTGTGCCTCTATTCCTACCACATGACCAGCAACACTCTTTTTGATCATTGTAATGCATTCTTTACTATCAGCCTCAAACATCAATCCCAGGCTATTTATTGCTCATGTCACAGCAACTGAGGTGAGCTACGACACAAGTTTGATTAAATATTCTTCTGCCTAAAACACTTGACTAGGTTCACACCAAGTTAAGTACAAATCTTTTAACAGGGCTGAAATTATGAAGACATAATGGTTCTTTGAAAAAATTATTGTTATTCTATCACAGTTGTCCCAATTTCCCCCCTTTGCTCTCCTCCACCCAACCTACTCCCTGCTCCCACAGTCAATCTCCCCACAACAATGGGAAAGAAGATTTATAAATGTCCAGAATGGTAAGATTTGGGCATAGTAAAACTGATGCATCTATCCACATCCATGGGTTATTCATCCATGTTCTTAACTAGTCCCTTCCCCCTTTTTCCACCATAAATAGTTCTTCAATTCTTTTCAGTCTTCCCTTACATTGTATTTCAGGTGAAATAGATCCAATCTCTTCCTTATGTCATTTACATATGCACTTTTCTCTACAAAAAATTCCTTATCCATAAAACTGACTTTCTTTTGCCTCATTCCAGCTTAATCTTTCAGGTTCGAAGGTTTTTAAAAAATTATTGTGTCATAAATACTGTGCTGTGCCTTGAGTACCTTCCAGGACTACAGCACCAACTTCCACAGATTCTGGGAATGTTGATGTCTAACAGCTCTTAAATTGCAGCCCAGAGACATTTTTCCCCAGCGTAAGACATCTGCCTCACCCAAGGTCATTACCCTTGTTGTGTCCACCTGCAACCCATGCCTAGGTGATACTAGAGGTATAAAGACACAGCCCACACCCCAATGTGGAATTATTCTGAAGGACTTTGCTAATCCCAGAGATTCCTCTGATGTTGGTTGAGGCTCAGTAGTGAGTTCATCCTAGCTTATCTGTCTAATGGTGTCCTTCTCTCCCACAAAGTGTTGCTCTCAAGAGGACTTTTAATAAAAACAACCTCTGCCTCAAATAATATTTTCCTAGGAATCTGACTTGCCACATATTTAAAAAACTATTTGAGACTTCTGCTATAGATCAAGCTATATTTCTAGGCATAAAACCTGCTAGAATGCCTGTCCTAATTCTCTCTTTAGTCTGAGTTGTATCCCTTACCTGTGCTCCCAGAGAACATGCTTGTGACTATCACTGCAATTCTGAAAAACTGCAAAACCCTGAATAGTCTTGTAGATTCACCTCTATTTTATTGAATGAGGAATCCCTAAACATTTTATTTATTGTTCCCTTTTATTTCCTAAGGCATTCAGCATAATATTACCTGTCACTAAGTGACATTTTATACTGATGTTAATGCTGCTTTGGGTAGGTATATGAGAAGACACATATGATAGTGTGGTTCAGGGCATGGATGATGGTATTGAGATTTCTGAGTTCAAATTCTAGCACTGCTACTAACAAGTTCTATGATCTTGGAAAAGTAAATTTAACTGCTTCTCTCTTCTGCACAATAATGCAATATAGTTTACACAAGATTATCTTGAGAATTAAATTTATTAATACATGAAAATCACTTATAACCCCACTTGACACGATACATTTTAAATAAATATTCAATATTATTGTATTTATTTTTTCTTAAAATCTCTAAGCTTGCTCTGACTAGAGTAGCTCAGTGGGTTGGGCATTGTCCCACAAACTGAAAGGTCATGGATTCATTTCCTGGTCAAAGCACATGCCTGGGTTTTGGTCCAGGTCCCCAGTTAGGGACATGCAAAAGGCAACCAACTGATGTTTCTCTCCCTCTCTTTCTCTTTCCCTTCCCTTCTCTCTACAAATAAATAAAAACAATCTTTTAAAAAGTTATGGACTTCCTTTAGAAATATATTTCATTTTTGGCACCATGTGTTTGTATAGTAAAAAAAGAATATAATTTTAAAGGGATATTAATGCTAAAGTCCACAAGCATACAGACTTTCCCCTGAGAACGTCTCATCTTCCAATACAAATGGTTATGGCAGATGTGGGCATGTTTTGGGGGGCTAAGCTCTGTCTAACATGGTTTTATTTATTATCTCCTCAAGTGATTTTACTGAGAAGAATCTTTTATATAAATAGAAGCTATAAATTAGGAGGACTGAGAATAGTTATTGTCCATGTTTCCTATGAAATAAAGATATCTATCTCAAAAAAACCCACTAGAACTGACACTGAAAGAAAGAAGCAGAGATAAGCAATAGAGGATGCTGGTAGAGTTCAAATTCTTAGCTCCAGTTTTCCCTCTGGCTAAGCTGCATTATTATCTCTGTTATGGCTTGTGTATTCAAAGTGTCCTTTAATTTTATATAATAACCTATTATAGTTCCTAACTTTCTAATTATGTCCAAGCTAAATTGAATCCTGTTTATGTCACTTGTAATCAGTAAAATATACCTGACATATAGAATAGAAAATAAAGGAAGATAGTAAAGAAAGGAAGAAGTATAGATAATTGGAATGAAAAAATAAGAGAATAGGTAGGAATAAAAACCATAAAGAGGAAGGTAGATTAAAGTTGTAAGGAAGTTAGTGTGACATGTATAAACAGCACGTCTTCAATCACCAAGATTTCTACATTGTACCATCAGTGAACACTTATTCTGGTCTAGTCATTCTTCTACATGCTTCTAACATCTGATCCTAATTAATCTGCAGACAACTATAAGTTACAGCTATTATCACCCGATCTTATGAATTAGGAAACTGAGTCTCATAGATGTAGAGTAACTTGTAGAATACTAAATATATAGGAAGTGTAATAGAAGATATTTGAGCCAGGGCTTGTCTGTTATACTCCAAATGTCTTTCTGTTGAACCTTGGTCAATAAATGAAATATCATTCTAAATAAAATAAATGTTCCCTAATGAAACATTCAATCTAAAAAACATTAGGAAGTAATTACGGAAAATTTTATGAAGAACACAGGCTATAGAATGAGAATGCTAAGAAGAAAACCAAAAAAGATAAACTGTTGAAAGCAAAATAATATTGTCCAAAGATGGGGACAATAATGATGATGACAACAATGACAAAAATGAAGTAAGTAATCCAATAAAAAGCTGTTGACAGATTAAATAATATAAACATGAACATACATTGAATTCATGATTTAAACTTCCTGTCCAAAACAAAAGCAGATATGAGTGAATGAATGACACATAGATCATTATTGTCTTACACAAAAGCAGTCTTGAAGAAGAGGAAAGAGATACGACATGTAACTGTTCTAAGTAATATTGGAAAGTGAGAAAGTACATAACCAGCATAGATTCTTTGCTCAAGTACATTTAATTTGAAGAGAAAGTCATAAAAGAGGTGATTAGAAAAGGACATGAGTTTACTAGGATGGAGAAAGATGTCGGGTGTGTTTATGTCTTGAAGGTAAAGCATTTTAAATCGAAGTGGTTGCATGTACTCATATGTGAAGGGGGCCATTCATGTCATAAACACAAAACAAAGTGAAGGGGGAATGGATTAGAGTCCATTCAAAAGTAACCTCTGTCAGGAAATATATCTTTTCCACTAAGATGAAAAGCAAGGAATTAAAGATGTAAGTGAAACTGAGATATTTAAAATCTAGTAGAAAGACTTAAGCAAGCAACTTCAATAAGTTAAATCAGAAATATGTTTTATCTCAGGGCGCCTGTTAAGTTGTAAGAGGGGCAGGGCCTTAGGTATTCACCAGGGCAGGGCAGACAGCCCTCCCGTCTGCACTGCTCCACTACCTGTGGATGAGGGGCCAGAGGGGGAACAATGCGTCCCCACCCCCGCTCATCTCTAGCCCCACTTTCCAACAAACACACCAAGGCACATTATCGTTAAGTTACCCAAGATTAAAGATAAAGAGAGAATCTTAAAAGCAGCAAGAGGAAAGGAGAGAGTTACCTACAAAGGAGTGCCCATAAGGCTATCAACTGATTTCTCAAAAGAAAGCTTGCAGGCAAGAAGGGACTGGAAAGAAGTATTTGAAGTCATGAAAGGCAAAGACCTACATCCAAGATGACTCTTTCCAGCAAAGCTATCATTTAGAATAGAAGGACAAATAAAGTGCTTCCCAGGTAAGGTCAAGTTAAAGGAGTTCATCATCACCAAGCCATTATTATGTAACATGTTAAAGGGACTTATCTAAGAAAAAGAAGATCAAAAATATGAACAGTAAAATGGCAACAAACTCACAACTATCAACAAATGAACCTAAAAGAAAAGAAAAATAATGAAAACAAAAAAACTAAGCAAACAAGTAGAACAGGAACGGAATCAGAGAAACTGACATCACATGCAGGGTTTTCAGTGGGGAGGGGAAGGGAGGGATAAAGGGAGAGGTATAGGAAAGAAGAAACTAAATTTTCTTCTTTAGTAGGCATAAAATAGATGGGGAGAGGTCAAAAATTGTATAGAAAACAAAGGACTCAGAGAACTCATGTATAACCCATGGACAGGAGCTAAGGCAGAGGGAATGCTGGAGGGTTGAGGGGTGCAGAGCAGAGGGGAAATAAAGGGGGAAAATGGGAAAAGCTGTAATAGCATAATCAATAAAATATACTTAAAAAGAAATATGTTTTAATTAAATTTGTGTCTTTTTTGCTTTATGTACTATTAATATTTTTATGATTTCCATTTTTGTGAGTGAAATTATTAATTACTTATACTTTTCATTGCTTTTGTTATAACGGTTTGTTTCCACAAAGTCACAGTTCTAAATAAAAAACCAAAATTTGAAATATAAAAAGACCCCAAACTCATTCATGACAAATGGCTTGTTTATTAACTGTTCTACAATTTGTACAAAATCAAAAAGGCCCTGAAGTTTCTAAGTTTTCTGGGCTACCATGATATTTTTTGCTGTAATCATATACAGTGCCCTGCTATCATAAAATCATTTACCTCTTTCCGCCATGAAAAAAATAATTCTGAATAACATGAAATAACAACAGACTAAAGGCAGACAGATCTTGAATATGGAATATTGGGATCCAAGCCTCGGCTTTTCTTTTACACTCTTCTTCTGAGGTGTTAGAAGGCAGGCTTCTCACACATGCACAAAGAGGGTGTGGTGCAGTCATCAGTCCCAAAGGTGTGTGCCTTTACATACATGCATATGCCCTGGAAATCCAGACTTGGGTTTGGTAAACTCCTGAGAAATTTAGAGAATACAAGTCACTGGCCATACTCGCTGTATTCCAATTAAATACATTATTTCAAAATGCACCATGTGCAGTGCACTATACCAGGTGCTGTGGGGAGCTCACGGAAACAGAGGCACTCTTCCTCCCTCCACAGAACTCATAGATTTATAGAAGATATGAGATAGGCAGGCAGTAATAGATAGGCTTCACAAAATAGGGTAATCATTTATAAGTAGGAAAATATGAAAGAGGAAGGGAATGGGCTGGTTAGGAAATTATAGCAACAGCATGAAAGAACATATGTCCTGAGTTATAAAACTATGTCTAAGTACAGATTAGCATGATGGACACAAGTCAACCGTGCATGTGCAGCTGCAGTTGAAGATGGGATGTTTTGCTTGTCAATATACTGCCTTAAATATAAAAGTCAGACAAAATTACTTGTGAAATTTAAAAAATTACTATATGTTTGTGTGTGTATTTATAACATATGGGGTGGGCAAAAGCAGGTTTATAATTTTAAGTACATGAAACAGACATAATAAAGCAATTGTAATAACCTGATTTTTCCATGCAAACAACAGTAAAACTACTTTTGCTCACCCCTGTACATATATCATAAGAAAAACAGCTTCACTAAACATCAGAAGATAACCTAAGAGAATAAAATTAAAATGATCAGCTATCAAAATGACCAAAACTTTGAAATATTAAATATGAATATCGCAGAGTGATGATAAAGGGTGTTAATTTATAATGCATATTGTCATAGTTGTCTAATGCAATATTTCTGGGTAGCAGCTTAGTAATATATACCTGAAATCATAAAAAGGCCCAAGTCTTTTGCTGAGGAATGACAATTCTGTGCTTCTTCTGAATAAAATATTAAGATGTTCCAAAATTCATAACTAATGAGGTTCTTCCCTATATTACATTCACTATCCCAATAGTAATCAATCAGAGCACCCAATGTTAGAGGTATATTTACACAAATTATGAAACATATAAATGACTTTATAATTTTCTACAATTGCTGATGGTATACTATGAAATAATGCAAGCAAGAGACAAAAAGGTCTAAATCCTGTCCCTAGTCATCACCTGTATTTTGTTCAGTTCTTTAGGTGAAAGACTTGAATAGGGAATAAGTAATTGAATCACATACTTACGCGTCAATAGACGGGGAGGAGCCGTCCTCCTACTCCCACCTATTGCCTGTTTTATTGTAGGAGATGCCAAGCCAAGTCTGAGTCACTGAAGGTAACATGGTGATATTCTGCATGGAGCATAAATACACAAAGGTATCAACACAAAAAGTGCATTAGAGTTGAAAACAGAAAACTTGTGTCAAGTGAGAAAAAGATAATTATAAAAATAAAAATAATGCAGTGTATGTATGCCCACTGGTAAATGAAACATCAACAAATATTCCAGCACTGCAGTACCTGACCATTCTCGAACCAGGATTTAAATAAAAAAGAGAAATAAAATAACTAATAGAAAAGGTTTATAGTTAAAAGGACTCAAAAATGAATTTTTAACTCATGTTATCATTTATTCAACTAGGTACCTACTCTTTGATCTTGAGATATATCATTGAATAAAAATGAGAAATATCTCTGCTTCAGGGCAGGGGATGAGCTGGATAGAAAAAAAACAAACATATGAATGGTCTGGTATGTAAAAAGCTTACAAGTGCTATAAAAAAATACAGCAAGATAAGAAAAGCACAGAGAAGGGCGACTGTTTGGAGGATGGATGTAATATACAGGTTACAATCAAATGGCACTGTTGAGTTATTCCGGTCAACTAAGTGACTTAATACTTGAAGGAGGTGAATGTATTTATAAGTGAATAAATACTTGAAGGAGGTGAAGTTGCTGGCCATGGTTACAGTGAAAGAACAATGCAGGCAGAGGGAACACAAGAGCAAAGTTTCGTCAGGGAGACCGTGTGTGGTGTGATGAAAAAGAAAGGCATGCTGAAATGTAGCACACCAGGAAAGATCCATAAAAAATTAAACAAGAACCTGTCCTTTTCCCTGGTTTTAGATCTGCAACTGAGCCCTTCCTTTGACTGGTACCTGCTGTTTGGTCGTGTTCAGAAATGAAGAATGAAATACAATCTCACCATCGATCTGTTCTTTTCTGCTGTTAAAAATGTAGCATTCAAACAGGCACAAACATCGGCACACTTTGACCCAGGAACCATTTCTGTGCTTTGGTGGTAGTAGTAGTCTCCGTATTTCACGCAGTCATGCAGAGGAGGTCCATGCTGGTCTCCTAGGAAAGAGAACATTTGTGACTCAGCGGCTGCAGACCCTCACAAATAAGGCCTAACTGGTTCGTAGCTTTCCCTTTTTAAAAGAATGAGGCTGTTGATAAGAATTATCATGAACTCAGAATTATGTCAATTCCAAATTACCTTGCTTTGCATTTAGTTCTTTTAAAGCCTCAATGAGACGCTCATTCTGCCTTTGGAGCCGATCTAGGGTTTCTGTATGGAACAACAAGACTTAACGTTAGATGAGGACATACATTATATCAGATTTTTTTACTATTTCGAGTCATAATAATGATAATGATCAAGTGGCAAAAAATATGCAAATAATTTCAGTCCATTTCCCTTCCCTACTGAATTAGTTTTATCTCTGACTAAAATAATCAGTTGCTTAGAAACCAGCGTTTGAAAATAGACAACTTGGTGATTGTAAGCAACGGTACTGTACTATAAACATGAAATTGCTAAGAGCCTAGATCTTAATTGTTCTCAACACAAAGGAAATGATAATTATGTTATATAATAAAGGTGCTAGCTAGTATTTATATATTTATATTTATTTATATATTATATATATATGGCAATATATAAAAGTATCAAACCAACAGGTTGTGCCCTTCAAGTTTGCCCATCATATGTCAATCTCATCTTAGTTAAAACAAAAAGGAAACCAGTCTTTTAACATGACCAGTCAATAAAGAACTCTCAGATGGTTGACTTAATTGTTCAATATAGGTTTGATACATCACAAGAAAAAATAACATTTTAATGCAAGGTTTTGCAAAATATTTATTTATCATAAACATAGAGTACATTTATATTACTATTAATTAGCATAAAAGATGTTTTCTGATTACTCCAATATTTTAAATTTTTTCCTAAAAGGAGGCATTTGGAAAAAATGAACACACGATGAAAAGATGATCACTTTTCATATATTTAAGTTCTTCCATTTTCATGTCCTCTGAACATCCTACCCACACCTCAGCCCCCCAAGGGCAGGGCTCATATTATATTTAATTTTATTCTCCAGCCTAGTGGCGAACAACTAGTGTGCATGGAATAAGTGCAATAAATAAATGAGTTAATGTGCTAATTAATTAATATAAGAAGCTATTTTTGGTAAAAGTGAGGCTCAGTTTCAGAAGATGGAATGGAGACTTAAAGAGGCAAGAAGCCATTAAAACGACCATGCTGCTGTACCGGAGAGTTCCCTGTGTATAGTGTAACCAACCACCTTAGGGCTGCAACAAGAAAAAACAATCCAGCATTCTGTAAAGCAAGTTTGTTGTGGTTGCAGTATTACCTTTGATTTCATCGAGATTGTTTTGGACCTGAGGAAGTTTTTCTGCTTCGTTTTGGAAAGACTCGATCCATTGGTTGAGGTTCTTCATCTTGCTCTCTGATGCCTGAATACTTTCAAAGTCTAAGAATAAGAATTCCACATACGTATAAAGCACATGCTCAATTAGGAATCAGAAGTGTATTAGATTATGAAGTTAAGTTTTATAATTTTCTCTTTAAGAGTTCCCCCATAAATGTTTTCAAAAAGTATAAATAAATTTAGCTAAGTGTATTTGAATGTATTCACGATTATTTCTGAAGTTTAGTCTAAATCTAAAATATCTTAATTTCTTATGTTTGAATGTATCTCTCTCAATAGAAAAATAGTTCAAATCAATTAAAACAGAGAAAAACAACTACTACTCTGTCAAATATTTAGGCCTCACGACTGGTTGATTAAGTGCAGAATTTCACTTGCTAAACACAAGTATAGAATTTTGAGTTTCAAACTATGTTATCAAAGACAAATGACTCTTTTTAAATAACAGGTGGCAAATAATTTTAATAGAAAAATATGAAGGTAAAGGTGTTTAGGGCAGAGGAGAATAATGGGGGGATATTGGGACAACTGTAATTAAACATCAATAAAAATAAAATAAAATAAATAACTATTAAAAACACATTTCTAATGTAGGCTGCTGGTGACATGCACAATTTGAACAAATTGTCAAAGAATATTTCTATTCTCATAGTGAAGACAGTTGCAAATTCATTGAACTAAATTTCCTAGAAGTTATAATTTTCAATGTAATAATCACTATTAATATCTATGCAGTCTTGCAATAATATATCCTCTCTAGAAAAAAATGCACAGTTGAGAGCTTACAAGATTAAATGCATTCATATAGTAAACAGTAGTGATAATTTCATGTCATTTTTTCCCTATACTCTGTTCAGGATGGCAATGATACATTTACCGAAAACTAGTATATCTGAAAATGGTTTAAAGAAATATAATTTGACAAACAGGCTATTATTTCTTCTTCCCCTATTAATTGAACTTACACTGATAACCAAAGAATCCACACAACACCAAGAGCAGCAGGCTGAAGATTCCCAGGATCACAGAAATTACTCCATACAGAGTGAAGGGAATGGAAGAGGCTGGAAAACACAGAGATAGAGATAATGTCAGCTCCTTTTATTTGAACGATTAGTGTCATTATTTTTCACTTATTGTTTTTAAAATATCCTTATGTTCTGAAGGATAATGCCCAATGCATGAATTACTATGAACTATTAGGCTGAATAAGTTTTTTTAAAAAACTATTTAAGGGGATATACAGAAAAGAATTAAGATAGGGATCCTGTCTGCTGTCCTACAAGCCCTGTTTACATGATGACCTTGCCTGGTATCTGGAAACTTAGATTTCAGGAGTGTTCTCACCACCATTTGTGGGTGAGAGTGGCCTACTGTGGCTCAACTCTTTTCTGCAGACAATATAATTTGTGCTGAACACTTGCTTTTCTTCTGGAATTTGCCACTTTTGTTACATGACAACCAGAGGCTGTATGTGTGGTCAGCCCCCAGTCAAGAACCTGGATTCTCTACTGACTGTTCCTGGTGGGCAACATTTGATGTGTGATGTCAAAACTTGTCACTGGGGGGAATTCACGGGACCTGTGTAACTCTACTGGGAGAGGATCCTTGGCAGCTTGAGCCTGGTCTCCCTCACATTTTACATTCCTTTCCTTTTGGTGATTTGGCTTTTATACTTTCACTGTCCTTAATCTAAGCTGTAAATACAACTGTACACTAAGTTCTACATGTTCTTTTAGAGAGTCACCAAACCTGAGTGTGATCTTCAGGATTTCCAGCACAGATAGAAATTTTACATACAGAAATTATTAAATATCCTTAAACACCAAGTGTGAAACTTCAGATTATGTTATCCTCATTAATATGGTCAGATGGGAAATGCTTAATTCTTTTAAATCTGTTATTGTTAAGGGAGAATTCTTGTCCAGGCTGGTGTAGCTCAGTGGATTGAGCACCAGACTGTGAACCAAGGGTTGCCAGTTTGATTCCCAGTCACAGCACATGCCTGGGTTGCAGGCCAGTTCCCAGCAGGGGACACATGAAAAACAACTGTACATTGATATTTCTCTCCTTGTCTCCTTCCCTTCCCCTCTAAAGATAAATAAATATAATTCTTTTAAAAAGGCAACCACACATTGATGTTTCTCTTTCTTTCTCTTTTTCCCTCCCTTCTTCTCTCTAAAAATCAATACATAAAATCTTTTCTAAAAATAACTTTTAAAAAGATAATATTCTTCATTAGAAATTAATGACTAGGGCACAGAGTGGTAATGGGAAAGATACAATAAAAGAAGAATTTAAGAAAGTTGATGACTAGTAGTATATTCCCCTCATAAAGAATTACTGTAAATCTTTGGTAATGTTTTAACTGAATAATGTGGCTAGGCCTAACAACATTTATACTTTATTCAGTTTAATAAAAAGAATACATTATCCCCCACATTCTAGAATCTAAACTTTTATACATCATTGTTTATAGTCCCTTCTCTTGGTATGTTTGTTTCCCTCTGAAATAAATGTATAAGCACTAGTGTAAAAAAAAGTATTTCCTTATATTTTTGAAATGAAGTGAGACGCTCCCACCAAAGAGGATGATTATATCCATAATTAAAGTCTAAATCATCTGTTAACTTACTGAAAAACATAACAGCGATCACCAACCAAAGGCAATTTTGTCCCCCAGGAGACCCTGTAAATGTCTGAAGACTCCTCAGTGTCATAACTAATGGGCGTGTGCTGTTGACATCCAGTGGGTAGAAGCAATGGCGCTAAACATCCTACAATCACGGGGCAGTTCCCCACAACAAAGAACTAGCTAGCTCAATTGGGAGTGCTTGATTGAGAAACATTTCTCCCTAAATGATGTTAAGTTTAATTATGATCAAAAGGAAACACTCGTGTCGTAGGGTTCTACCTATTTTATGTCTTTTTACAATTTTGTTAAAATTTAAACATTTTTTATTGTTGTGCAATTACACTTGTCCCCATTTTCCCCCAAGACCCTCCCCCACCCCACTCACCGCCTCCTCCAACCCTTAATCCTACCCCCCCTTTGTCTTTGTCCATGGGTCCTTAAATATGCTTTTTGATGACACTTCCCCTTCTTTCCCCCATTATCCCTGTCCCCCCTCCCTTCTGGTTACTGTCATTTTGTTCTTTATTTCAATGTCTCTGGTTATATTTGCTTGCTTATTTGTTTTATTGATTATATTCCACTTACAGGTGAGATCACACAGTATGTGTCTTTCACTGCCCAGCTTATTTCACTTAGCATAATGCTCTCCAGTTCCCTTCTGACATGGCAATTCCACTGCTGGGATTATACCCTAAGAATCCTGTTGAAATTTAAACTTAAATCACATTTAAGTTTCTCAGTTTCATTTGAGGAAACAAGTTCAAATTTGGACAAATGGCTTCTTTTATCTTTAAATATGTTTATTAATACATAAAATTTTCAAACATCTCTGTGAGAAAATATGGTTTTCTTTTACTTCCATATATGTTTTGAAAATTTTTTAATCTTTGTATTTTCTCTAAATTTTAAAATACCCAAATAGTAACAAGTTAGAGAAAAGTAAAATCAAGGGAAGAGGTAACTGTGGTACACTTAAATAATGGAATTCTACGCAGCAGAAGGAAAGAAGGAACTCTTACCCTTTGCAACAGCATGGATGGAACTAGAGAGAATTATGCTGAGTGAAATAAGTCAGATGGTGAAAAACAAATACCATATGATCTCACCTACAAATGGAACTTAATCAACACAACAAACAAGTAAGCAAAATAGAAACAGAGACATTGAAAAAAAGAACAAACTGGTAGTGACCAGAGGGAATGGTGAAGGGGATTCATGGGGGAGGGTAGGGGAAGGGACAATCCAAGGAACATGTAAAAAGGACCCATGGGCATGAACAAAGGGGTGGGGATTGGTGGTGGGAGTGGGGACAAGGTAGGGATGGGGCAGGGAAGAGCAAGGGGGGAAAAGGTGAAACTACTGTAACTGAACAACAATACTAAAAAATGGGGAATGAGGTGGGGGATGCAGGAATGGTAACAAGGTAGCTCACAAATTGATAACTGTTAAAGCTGAGTAAGGGCTATATGTGGGTTCGTTATTCTATGCTTTCTAATCCCACATATGTTTGACATTTTCTCTGTAAGAAAATTTAATTACATACTCTTGAACAAATTTAATTCCCATATCCTAAAAATAAAGATGAATACCTTCAAAAAAGATAACATGGAAAGAACTTCAATTAATAAACTCTAATGTATATATACTTTACCATTCATGTTGGTGTACTCAGGAATTGGGCCCAATTCATCCTCTGGAGAAGGAGCGGGAGGAAAAGCAAGAGGAGATTCCGAGTCCACAATTGGGATTATCTCTGTCTGCTCTGTGAATTCTTTAACACAGAAAATATATAATCAATTTACAACTTTGTCAAGCAAAGTAGATTACAATTTAAATTAAGGGGCTACTACTATTTTGAAAGATCGATAGAAATACATAAATGGTAGTAGTAGAGTGCCAGACACTCAAATCACATTTCCACACAAAAGCCCATCCAGCTCTCCTAAAAATACTTAAATGAATTGATTACACTTTGGATCTAACCAAGAAATACATAATTATTCCTGTTAACTACATGTAAAAGTAATCTTTTAGGTATAGCTGGGAAATGCTAAAGAAAATACATGTCTTTTATGACCCTACTATAATCCTAACCAGTAGTAATGATAAAAAATAACTAAGATTTGATTTTAATTATTTAAATAAATATTTAGTTAATAAAATAGCATAGGATATTTGGATTAAAAAATACCTGGAGGATGATTAGAGTCTGAAGAATTTGACATTATGGAGCCTTTCGATGATGTCTCTCTCTGAATAGTGAAGCGGTATTGTGAGGTGAATGAAGATGTGTTTCTGCCACTGTCCCCCTAGAGCTGATGAGAAGTTCAAGCCTGACCTAAGGTGGGGTAGCTACATAGGACTGTATGATATTAACTTACATTGGTAAAAAACCACAGAGGTCATGTGGATCAATAACTGGATATATATTTCTAATAGGTTTGCAAAAATAAAAATTGTACACAAAAAGCCTTTTAAAAGTATCTAGTATCTACTAGATAATAGTAGCAATTATCTAGTAATAATCTAGTAATCATCTAGTAATACTTTACCACTCTGGAAACAAATCAGGAACAGCTGTTAAAAAATTGTAAGTAGTCTAGAGTGAAAATTCACATGAGAATTGACAACGTGGTGAAGAAAAACAGTAAGTATATAAAAACTAAGAGTCTAGATAGCCAGATATATAAGAAAAGAAATAATACTAGAAGAAACTGACACCTGTTAATCAAAGGTAGATGTAAAGAAATGGCATTTGAAGATTAAAAACCCATTATAAAATTAATATATCCAACTATTAAAAATTTGGCTTAAGTTTATTGGTAGACCACTACCCCTTGACTTTTTTACAAGTGAAAACCAGTTCTATTTACAGGAATAGGCATGGGTAGCCACCAACAGTCTACCACTTGCTCTTTAGTGGACTCACACGAAAAATGCTCAGTATTTGCAGTGGGTAAAAATAGATACTGTACATAAACAGAAATAGACATATGACTTTTGCACTGGGGTCATAACCACACAGAAACTAATGTATATTTGAGCCCATCTGGTTGAAACCACACAAGATACCACAAATATAGACAGCTGTCATAGATTTTCATCTGTTTATGTCCAATTCAGACCAAATGGTCTTACAACTAACCATAAAAATATATCATGTTTTATATTTTAACATATGAAATACAAAGTTGGTTGACTTGAAAGAATAATAGCATTACTGCTCATTCAAAGATCTCAGTAAAGTCAGGAATAAAGAGATTCAGGGTTTTTCTGCCTGTATTGTAAATAATTTTTATTTTGTTGAATTTCTGATATTTCTGATATTTTAACATCTGACTTCATTGAATTGGGTCAGGATTCAGACAAGGGGGGAAGTATTCATCATGAATGTTTGATCACTTATAATACGCACATATGGAGAATTATTTTATGGAAGTTACAGTCTCCCACTCATGGCCGCATCCTTTCTATAGAAGGAAAGAAACTTATTGTGCTGTGAAACTTTGCAACTTAAGCACCTCTTCACTTGGTTCATCACACACCTGTGCATTTCAAAAAGATAATCCTTTAAAAAAAGACCTAAAAGGAAAATTCTGGGTTTTTGTTCAGGGAAAAAACAAATTGCAAAGTAGTGGACACTTATAATAGCATGTCGAAAAGGAAGAGAGGAAGGAAAATGAGGAGGAACAAGAGCAAGAGAAAGGGTATGTGAAAAAGAACAAGAAAAAATAATATATACAAATGTGTTTATTTAATTCATATGAGCACAGAATTTTTTTTATGTTGGTAAGCATAGGCAAGTAGGACTGTATGGGAGAGGAAAAGGTTATTCATATTTGATTCATCACTAGGCTTATATTATATATAATATATATGTGAGATACATTTAGCAATTTTAAAGAAATTCTAATAGAGATAGAAAAGTAAAAGCAAAGAGAGTGATTCAACATAAAGAAAAATTCAAATTGTGGGAAAAGTTTATCATAGAGAATGCTCATGACAATATTATAACCAAGGACCAGATTACTAGAAATGAGGTGTGTCCATAAATGAGGGGTTGGTTAATTCACCATTAATACAATGATATAGTATACATCCAATATAAACAGTACTTTGAAATTTACATTGTGACATAGACCTAAGTTCATGTAGATGAATTAAATTCAATTAAAAGCCCAGACTCCACTAAAAAGCTGAACAAGGAAATCATCAACACATGAAAAACCAACCAATAAAGTAAGAACATATTTTAAAATTATATGTCTGATAAAGGTTTAATTTTCAAAATATATTTTAAAAACCTCATACAGCTCAATAGCAAAATCAAATCTGCATAACATGTTGGCAGAGAAACTGAATAGACATTTTGAGAGGAGATGCACAAATGTCAATGGTGCATGAAAAGGTGTTAGACAGCCTCAGAGCAGTTACCATCCAGGAAAGGCAAATCAAAACCACAGTGAGCTCTCACCTCACTCCCATTAGAATGATTATTAACAAGAAGAAAAGAGATAACCAATGTAGGTGAGAGTTTGGAGAAAAAGGAACTCTTTTACACTTTTTATGGGCAGGTGAATTAATGCAGCCACTCAGGAGAACAGTATGGATATTCCTAGAAATTTAAAAATAGTACTACCGTATGACCCAACAATTCCACTTTGGGGTATATATTCAAAGGAAATGTAAGAAAGATCTCTCACAGTTATCTGCACTCCCATGTTCACCGAAACATTATTCACACTAGCTAAGAAATGGAAATAACCTGAGTATCTGTGGAGAGATAAAGGAATAAAGAGCAATATTAGTCAGCCATTCAGAAGAAGGAAACCCTGACATTTGTGACAACATGGATAGATCATGAGGGCCTTAAGGCTAAGTGTAAAATAAGCCCGAGAGAGAAAGACAAATACTGCATTGTATTACTTAGGAAAAATCTTTTTTAAAAGAAGTCAAACTCATAGAAACAGAGAGTAGAAAAGTGGTTGCCATGAGTCAGGAGTGTGGAAAACATAGAGAGAGATTGGTAAAAAGATACAAACTTTCAAGTACAAGATAGCTGAATAAAGTCTGAGGGTCTATTATGTACTTAACACCCTAAATGTGGTTGATGACATTGAATGTATAGTTGAAATTTGCTGAGAGTAGTACTTAAATGCTCTCATCCCCCTGTGTTTGTGTGTATCTACACATACACACACATACATGTATAGTGATGGAAGTAGTAACAGTAGATGGGGAGTATCCTTTCACAACAACAAATCATCACAATGTATACTCTAAATATCCTGCAATTTTATTTGTCAATCATACTTCAATAAAAACCTGAAACATGTGACTTAAAATCATGAGAGAAAGGAAAAGGCCGTGTATATTTGAAATGCCAGTAGATGCCACTGTGAAGTCCATCATGGACACTGATGATTCTTCTTCTTTGTATTCAAGTGTATTTTTAAAAACTGTTCTATAGGGAGTACACTTTATATTTATAGGAATATAAAAACTGATAATGCTTAAAATTATTAAATAAAATAGAAAATCAGCATATCTTCTACATAACCTTTCATTTTCATAGCCATACAGACATTATTTTGCAGTTTTTCTTCTGTTAATATATTTTCCCTTTCCATTTAGAAATCATAGCAATATAACAAATGTGTTCTTGTTCCCTATGTACCTTTTTAAATTTAAAATTGCTAAAGAATGTCACTTAATGTCATCTCTATGAATTCATTTGTTGAAATTGTATAGAGTCCTAAATCTTACAGTAGAATTCCTTCACTTCTGATTGAAAAATCTAAGGCTTTCTTGAGTGAACTGAATTGAAGAATGAATAATTTTTTAAAAACACTGTATAGTTTCATAAAACCTGTGTTGGAGTCAATATACCAGTAGTCAGCAAAGTTGGATTATCATTCAAGATCTATAGTATTGAGATCTGTTTCTGTAAGTCAATTGGCACTTGTAAATACTAAATAGGTGTGTCTATCTTTTTAAATGCAATAATTCTGATTTTGCTCTCTACTAGGAACAGTTTTTATATTAGATTAATATAATACAAATGAAACTGTCTCTGAGGACACTTCTCACATATTATTTTTACACTTTAATACTAACTTCATTATCACAATTGTATACATGTGTATATATTTCTTTTTTGTTGGTTTCACTTGATCTTAAAAATTATGGTGTATTAAACAAACTCTGCAAACAAGCATTTTATTATAATTATATGTAACATGCTGAAGCTGCATTTAACATGAATTCCTGCCTCCAATTTAAACTCACATACATATACATTAAAACAACCCTAACTGTATTTTTGAGATTACTATAGTCAAGGACCATTGCTTAGAAATGTTGTCTCAAACAAATAATAGACTAGACTGACCCATTATTGTTATCTTATATTCTTAGGAGATCTATATATAGTATATTGCAAAATTATATCATTTTTATTAGGGGCCAGGTCTTGCAAAATTCAGACTTGAAAACCAATACCATAAATATGGATGATACCATTTTTAAAATATTTTTTCTTTCAGTGTCTACCACCCTAAGCAGTAACGTGATACTGGCTAGACCTATAACTAACATGCAATGCTAAATCTGCATATATCACTTAGTTTCAACTAAACTTAATATTTGAGATTCTAGAATGGGCCACTGAGTGGATTTCCTTCACATGTGGGCATGAAAATATGAAATGGATCTGGAGAGAAAGAGGAGAGGAAGAGAACCAGGAAACATAGAGGAAACTTTGACTTCTGA